TTTCAACTACGTTTGACATACACCATTCTCTTTATCATCCTTTACGCTATCTAAGGTCCAAATTTAATTTTAAAAATGTTCTGTTTTTAATAAAAAATAGTTTAAAAAATAAAAAAATTGCCTATGTTTGACACATTTCGTAAAAAACTCATATTTTCGAAAATTGAACATTACACATAAGGTCATTTACTTAAATATCTGTTTTTGACAAACATATTTCATTAAAAAACATGTTTATCTTCATAATAGTTCTTGTAGAAAGACGTCAAAACAATTTTGGATTTTTGGAATTTTGAAAAATCTGAATTTTTAACGAACATTAATATCTATATCAATTAGCGTCCATCTTAAGCGTCCTATGCATTAATCGAGGTCAAAATTTAAACAAAATTGTTGAAGCCGTTTTTGAGAAAAAATTGTTAAAACAAAATTAAAAATTGCTTATTTTTCATGCAAAATTACGCAAAACTTACTAATATTTTCGAAAAATTGTACATGGCCTTATTTCAAAATGTATCTGTAAGGAACAGATTTCATTAAGGGAAAAAATATCATCTTTAAAATTGTAGTTGTAGGAAGACATTGATAAATAAGCAACTTAACATGTAGAAAGTATTGTAGATGAAGAAATTCCAGAAAATAATTAGTTAATAATAAAATAGTTTCTATTAACAGTTGATGTTAAATTTAATTGAATTAAGTTTCACAATTTGTAAATGCCACTAAACTCAAAAAACAATATTTTCCATAATGTACATAATTTTTTTAAACCATTTAATTAAGATATATATTTTGTATTGATTTGCCAATACGAATTATTTCATTAATTTTTAGTTTGGGGCTCCTCCATTTGGGGAAAATGGATAATCTGTTCATAAAAAGAGAACATGTTTATAGTAAAACAAATGTTAATTTAACATTTTTAAAATATCTATTTAAAATTAATAACACAAAATTATATTTAAAATTATTGAAACTGCTTAAAAATTGTTTTGACTCTGTAGTAGTGGAAAGTCACATTATTTTTTGGGGGGGACAAGTACAAAGGTATAACTATTTTTATTAGGTGTGTGGTTAGTGAGTTGATGTCCCCTTGCTTAATTTACAGACTTACAAGTAAAGTATATTTATATCCCTGGGCCATACTTTTACAATACACATATCTTAATTAATTTTACAATTACTTTGTTCCATTTTTTTAACAGCATAAAAAGTTGAAAGTATTATTTACGAAGATCAACTGACCATCAAAGTTGTGTGTAATTTAGTTTATCAATATAAATGATATAATATGCATTTTCTTTTGGTATTTATTTATTAGTGTTGTGTACAGTTATTCCCAGTTACTCCAGTGCCCTGAATAATTGGAACCACCCTCCTCTATAATGATTCGGTAGTTTCTACAAAGTATCTGGACCCATTCTCTGTCGGTAATTGCAACCAATCAATGGATCAAAATGTGTAAATAAATGTATAAAATATATGTATTTCTTTCCCTTACTACACTCCCTGACACTTCTTTAAGGAAAGACTGTGCCTGTTTCAGAAATTAATGAATCATGCCTTTACTGTCACACTTATATCTTACATCCATAAACTTGTTTTTTAGATTGTTTAATTTCACATAAAATTTTATTATGTCTATAACCTACTCTTTTAAGAGATCCAACCTCAAATTTTCCATAATTCAAAATTAATTTGCCAATTTATTCAATGTAAATGAAAGTTGAAGTCCTTCTTCTTCTCCCTTGCCACTCTGGATGATAATTTCTATTCTTACCTCTTGTCCCATTCTCATAATAGTGGAAGATGCTTTAGGGTATATTGAAAAGCAAACCAGCAGCTCAATGACTGTAGATTCCATTCTTAACATCTTCACCTGCCTGAGGATGATCCCTGAGCTGCACCTTGGTTTATTTCTGGATATTATCCAAAATTAAGTAAATAAATATGTAGTACAATAGCACACACTTTATTTTAAAGCGATTCACATTCTACTTATACATACACCGGTTTTTGGAACTCACAGGAGAACTGGGCACCTACCATGACCCAGTAATCTGTATGATTAAGTTAAGTGTATGGTCCAGTTACCTCCTCAGCCAAGATCTAACGGGATAGGCCACACCCTCAAAAACAAAGTTGAATTTGTTTTTCCGACCTCTAATTTAATCATCCCTTCTAATACATCCCTCAAAGTGAGTCGGGTAACAACAGTTCGAAAATACTGAAAAATGTAGGCCTAATTGCCGAAGGTTAAAAGTGGAAGTTGGTCCGGTAGTTGTAAAGGACAACAATGACACAAAAACACATGATCAATGTTACTTGTATTAAGACAGATGAGTGTGTTTGGAAAGTGTTGGCCAATTATCAATTGATTTGGAAAGTGCCATTTTTCTGTGATGCCAAGCTCACTACATAACAATGCTTTCTTCAACTTAGGGAAGAACAGTAGGCATATGGCCCCGATACTCCTGAGCTCAATTACTTAAACTGTATGTTTCAATAATCAGAAATATTACTTGTCCTTAAAACATGTACTTAGTTTTTTCTCAAGTAAGTAAAGCCTCCCAGATCTAAGATGTGGATCCACTCATGTAAATTATACTTGTTAACTTTTCTCAGGCTGGATTAATATCTTCTAAGCACAATCAAAGTAAGGGGCTCCTGAATAATATTCAACATATGTAACCAAAACTAATAAAATAATGTTCTACATTTGCAATTGAGCACATTGAGTATGGTACCATCCATATGAGATACTTTGGTTTCACCCAAGAGCCAAACCTTGATACAGTAATCTACAAACAATATAAGCTTTTTGAAGTACCTTGACGAGACTGGCAGATACACATGCAGAAAAATGCTATATTATACTCAGCATCAAAAAGGAAAGTAATATTCATTTTACCTATGAAATTTAATGAAGTAATTGTTTTGGACTGTATAATTCTAAACAACCCGTAATAAGTATTGTATTTCAGCTTCTGGATCAACAACCCTTCTGGATCATGTTTTTCGTCTAGTCACCCTGATCCTTTGAGCGAATGCTGAGATGGCCCCTTGTTTTGCTACTGGACATAAATGTAACTTCATTAACTGTGTATGTTTTCTAGAGTTCAGTGGGAAATAGTTAATCAAATTATCATTTTCTGTGTTGTCATGGCATGTCAAATCATCATTTTCTGTGTTCAAGTGTTGTTTCACAAAGGACACAATAAGAGCCCAAATCTATATCTGATTTACCCTTGCAAATATTTCTTATTGCACTAGAGCAAATATTTTCTTATCAATTCTTGCCAAAAATATCCATTTCCTTCTGCATTCAGAATCAAACATTTAGAGAATTCAACTTGACTCAGGGTAAGTATCCTAGAATTAAGAAAATGTGCACAGAATACATTTCTCTTTGTAGCATGTCATACACAGATTTAACTGTTTTTGATATTAAGTTAAATAAATAAAGTAGGGGCACCCACACGTAGTCAACAATGCCTTCATCACCCCAAAGATTAGTTTGATATCCATTTAAAATTTTGAACATGTCAACATCAATCTCTCGCACTGGTGTGCTCACAGGGAAGTTTTATTATTTTGGGTGTAATTATGTACCATTTATCTACTCTAAACACATATGAATATTGTGCAAAGGTTACTGATAACTAGCGTCATCATCATCATCATCATCATCATCATCATCATCATCATCATCAAAAATAGGTATTAAAAATATCCTCCATATCAGGATCCATGATGTTCAATTGTAGATACATAGGGTTTTTATCTTAACGTGCAATCCATGACTGGTAGCACCTGTTCTTGTTTTGACCATTTGGCAACCATGTCTTTGCCTCCTTTCACTACAGCCATGGCATGTCGAGTCAGCAGAGGGGGAGGTGAGCATCAGGTCATAAGCTGCAGTGACTTCCCTGTTTCTGTGTTTTTCCCATTCAAGAGTTTTGGCGGGTATGTACTGGGCGGGTAGGTGGCGGGTAGACTCACACTCCAGAAACTTTTCATGTGGCGCAGGGTGGGATGGGGTGGGCTCAGACATGAGCGGGAAAGCTAAACATCTCTTTAGGCGTTTCTGACCAGTATGCTAAAGAAAAAATCTGTAATACTGAAGATGTGGAGGGCAGTTATAACTGATTTATCAATTTATAAATAACAACATAACAATAATTATTATTTAATGCTAGCCGATTCAGAGAGAAATCACAAAAATTCTCCTGAAACATTCGCCGAGCTCTTAATTTTTTAAAACAATAAAAATATTGTTATTAATATTATTATTATGCAACTTGCAAATTAAACAAATAAGAAAATCTTAATAAAATTAATAAAAAATATTTATAACATGTAAATTAGTAGCAAATTAATAATTATTGAAAATAATTAATAAAAAATAATAAAATATTATTTTCTTAATATGACAATAGTCTGACCTTGCTCAAAGTAACTACCATTTACCAAGAGAGGTGTTTACTCTCTTCAGGTAGTAGCTGCACAACATTGAAGAGTAACAAGGACAGAATAAGGACTTTCTCTTTCTTCCAACTAAAATTAGCCACATTCTATCAGTCTGAAATCTTAAGGAGCATGGCTGGGGGTCGCTGAAAGGGAAAAGGGATGGCAAAGTTTTTTATGCATTGTTAAATTGTCAAATCGTCTGGGTAGTATTTACCAGACATGTGTTGTGAGCTAAGAGTAAAGACCCAATATATGGATCAGAGTTACTTATCTTTGTTGACAGGGGCACACTCATACATTTTCAAAGAGTGCTGGTGCTGGAACATTTAATTTTACGGTAAGAGACTAAAAATCTCAAAAGGCAGAAAAAATTCATTCAAAGCAACTCTGGACCAATTTTCTATCACATCCTGACACCAGTGCATCAATTACTGTTAGATCATGTAAAAATAAGGAAAAACTTTACTTTTGATGCAGATATAACAAAGCTGGTTTGACCTCACATAAGGACTTAAATGAAAGAATGTTGATTATTTGTGTAAAGCAAATTTATTTTTTAAATATCCTACAGCATTCTTGGATTATGAAGAGTGTTACCATTATTTGTACAAATGCTGTATAAGCCTCACAGGACTATCTGACAAAGACATTTCTTTCAAATGTTAGTGGAAATAAAATATTTAACATTACTCATGTTACATCTACAACTTTGTCATGAACTTAATTGAGACATATATTATACAAACACTTCATTTTAAGTCAGCACCAGCCTTAGATTCACATTTCCCCTTTTTCCAGCATTTTCTCTCATTATACGTACAGAAGCATCCCATGACAAGATAATCATTAATAATTCCTTTGTAGGATAAAGACAAGCCTTTTTTTATTTAAAGTAAAAAAATATGAATTATTTGTTGTTTTTAGTTTAATATTACGAAATATCACTTTATTTTCCTTTAACAAAAAGAAAAGATTATCTATTTAGCATTTTTATTTGAGGTAAAACTATTATTTAAGTGAATTTTGAGAAATACTTTTCTATGTCTAAGTAACTAATACTTCCTTGGATTTTTTATAATAATTGTTCAGAAATTTCATGAACAAGGAGGCTTGTGCACATATAATTTTAAATATCTGGGATGATTCCAAAATAACATTTTTTTCTAGAATTTATAAAATTCTGTTTATTGAAATAGGGAGCAATGAATAATTAAAACGTCGTCAGTTCACTAAATACTTATTGTAGAAGAAAGTAGAAATTAACAATGCATCATATCACAGAACCAATACAGTTATATAAAATAGAAATTTGAAGAGAAACAGTTACAAATAAACTGTTTAATACCTACAAGAAATTTCATAAGAGAACTAAAAAAAACGTCAGTACATAAGGTATATCATTGCATAGGATTGTGTATAGAGTATCCTCAGTTTAAAGACATATGGTAAAGATCTTTTTAATGAATTAATTGGTAAATGGAAGTCAAGATCTTAAGTGTATATCTCTGATTATACAACAGAGAAAAAAGGTCATTCAAAATTTGATGGTAGAGATTTCAAATTAGATGGTTATTTGCAAGATTAGAACCTGAGTTTATAGTATTTTGAATTACCCAATTACAAGAACCTTACTGTTTCTTGGGCTAGATAAGGGAATTGGCATTACATATCTTTAAATTAATACAGAGGAACAGCATGATGACACTTCTTGGAAGATAAAACACAGGGGAATTAGGATTTAGGGAACACCATTTTCTTTTAAGTATGTGATAAATTCATATGATATATACACCAAAGTTAAATGTTTTGTTAACAATCTCCAAAGTCCCAATCACAAATTTATTATGCCAAAGGAGAAAGTATTGCTACAGATGTTTTTGGTGATCTATGGTTGTTCTCCTAATATAATAGTATGAATGTATTTTTTAAATTGATTTTATGCGTGATCGTCTTCATGATAGTCTTGATCAAACATAGAAATAGATGTTTGCAGCTCACCTTCAACTTCCTTTAAGTGTCATTATTCAGTGATGAATGAATTAAAAAGAAGCAAATAAAAATCTTGACTACAAAACATTTTTAAGATATAGTGAAATATCAAATAAATTGCACCTAACATTTCTATTATTTTTGTATATCCCGAAACATCCAAGAAAGACGATTTATCAAATATCTGCAACTACTCCTAATACGATCTAATTAAAATACTAGGCAAGTAGAAAATTATTTTTCCTCATTTTGGAGAAATCTCTTGTGTACTTTATGTATTCCATTACACATTAGGAACTTTATCCTCATTACCATAAAGCTAGGTAGAACAATTTAATTACAATAAAAACAACTTATTGGAAGCAAAAATGTAGGCAAAAGATACAAACAGTATGAACAGCAAATTATAGATTAAAAGTTCTCTCATTACTGTTGTCTCTCACTTTAAATATCAACACAAGGAACCCACAAAGACAAGCAATACTTTCTTCTTGACTTCTCTTTATCAGACTTCTCCCTCGATGCACAACAAAGATGATACAGCTGCTCTCTCAAGGTTGCACTATGGATAAGTTTTAGCCTGTTCAGGAGCACTGCGTTCCCCCAAGGAAATTTGAAGAATTGATTATCTTTATATGTATACACTGAATAAATTATCCTTCCTACATGTATTACTTTCAAACTAAAATTTCCATTTCATACTTTGAGAAAAAGGTTAGTCATTCTGGTAGGTTGGTTCCTCAATAGTCAGCTCTTCTCTGCCTCCATACCATGCACATAATTTTCAATTTCATTCTGTTTACAACTTGGAGGAATTATTGTGATATCTGCTTCAGACTTGCAAATTGTGAACAGAATTCTATAAAATTTGAAGTTACGTGACATTTTTATTGTAACCTCTTGGAAAAAGTTTGAATTCATACTTTATTGAAGAATTCTATAACATCATTTTCCAAATTTGTAACAATTAATTTTTTTAAATTATAAGTGATGAATTGAATTAACAACTTCATATAAAATCATTCAAAAATCAGTATCCAAGAAAATAAATATTTTCAACAATAGAAGAAATGAAATAGAAATGTATTTCTGCAATTATTACTACATCAACATGAACAAATTCAAAAATATGGATAAGCAAATAAAAGATGATACACGGCAAAAAATATTGGAATGTCAAAGAAAAGGAACATCCAACATAATTATAACATTTCAAAAAATAGATTCTTGCTTCAACAGATCAATGAAAAATTAAACTCGGTAAAAAGAAAAAAAAAAGATTATAGAAACAAAAGAAAATCTTGGCTTTGAGCTAAATAAGTTAAAAAAGGTGACTTTATTAACTGATCACAATTCAAGTAAGAGGTACAAAGAAAGATAAACAAAGAAAGAAGAAAAAAGAAATGAAAAGAAAAATGGAAAGTGAAAAACAACAAGTAACCCATCATTTTGTTGGAAATTTTAACATTTACTCTGCTGTATTTTTAAAATACAAATGATTGAAATACCAAATACAATTTATTTAAATAGGTCAATAAAACTGGCAGGGACAGAAGAGAATGTAGTCAACGGGTTCCTTTCTTGCATAATCCTTCAGTCAAGCTGAAGGCGAAGAGGACTCGTGAACAATCATTTGCTAACCACTGATAAAAAACTTCTACCATGTTTTAACCAACCTACACAGAAACATGGTCAATTGCTCTTACTTGATCGGAATTTCTATACCAACTGACAAATGTCAGTGAACAGGACAGACATCTGAATATATTCCTGGTAGAGGCGGTGCCTTCCCATCAGGACAAATGGATGGTGGAGTGCGGAGCGGAGCAGAGTGGAACAGAGCACTGTCTGGCAAAGGGCAACGGAAAGCGCAGGTCACCTTGCTGAGGGCGCTGGTGGTATCTGCCGCACTGCTAGTATTCGGCACTGTGCCTCCTTAGCTCTCCTCCTCTGCCTCCTCCTCTTCTTGAGAGTGTTCTGACAGCGCTGCCTCGGACAGCGCCTGGCTGGGCGATGCTGGCATTGGGCTCTGCAAAGCACACCGCACAGTGTCACAATCAATATGAATAGATGAAGATGTAGTCTATTTCTCACCCTTTAAGTGGAGTTAGTAGGCTATAAAAGCTTTTCAGCAAAGGTGATGGCGTGGTAATAATAATATGGAGTTGTTTTTTTTTTTTGGTCTTTCACATACTTGCATGATGAAAGCACTTAATGACATACACAGGATATGATCCATCAACATCTGCAATATGCATACTGTTTTTAAAAATATTGTGAAGGTTAAATATTAAGTCTGTTGAACCCATTACTGCAGGAATTAAGAGAATATGTTGTATTTGAATGTGTTTGATAAAATTCCTGTTCTACCCAAAACCAATGAGTGTTCATTTTACAAAATTTATAGTTCCCTGCTATGCTGTTTCAGCTCAGAAATACACTGTGAATAATATTATATAAATTTTAGATTTATTCATGTTGGAATCAAATGGTTAATGTTAGTATTCTATGAGCAATGACATTTTCCTAATTTGTCCTCTCATTAGATGTTTATTTCAATGTCAACAAGAAATAATATTGGGAAAAATGGGAAATTTGTTATTGTAATACATAAATGGTTACAGATATTTGAAAACCTTCACAATATAAGGATGAACATTACGAGTTTTTGCTTCTAAAATCTACATTGACATTTCTTCCAGCACTTCTTGAGCTGTGAGAGTCAGTACTTACTGATCACCTATTTTTATCAAAATGAATCATAAAAGAGCGATGAATGTCTGTCATTACATAAACTTTCCTTTTTTATGGTAATGTCACCACGTCATGAGATAACAACTTAATGGTAATAATATTTTCCTTAATAGATATAACATTAAAGGAACTGGTTGAACTATCTTCTCATTATTTTGACTGTAGAGTTTCCAGTTTTACACCCCTCACTAATGCAGGATTTTTTGTAGATTACTCGAAAAAATGGTGCAGAATATTGGAAAAGACAAATAGCAGGATACTCACATTAGTCGAATCACAAACATTCGACAATCACTAATCCCAATTATCAACTTCGAGTATAAGGAGTAAATACTTCAAAAAAGGAGATTAATAATTTTTTCTTCAATTGTCTATCATTACGCCATCAATTCATTGCATTCTTTATGAAGAATTAAACTAGCTAACTTCTAGGGACACCAATTTGCAACTAGTGCAATAGTGGTAGAATTTTAATAACTTAGGTGAGCAGTGCAGATTTTGTTTTGAAGTATCTAATTACTTATTACAAAGTAGATAAACAAACGAAATTTTTGCTACTGGATTCACTGAACAAATTCAAGTTTATATTGTGTTATTTTTAAAGAAAAGTGTTTAATTAACATTTATTTTATGATTTAGAAAACATTTTAGACACATTTAAAATGTCCAAGTTATTTAAATTGACTATTATTAAAGAGGTATTGAATAAATTTGACAAAAACAATCTTTTCCAGCATGCATTATCTATAAAAAAGAAGCTAACAAAAGTTAGAAGTAAAAAAAGCACATTTGTTGTTGAGTGGCGCACATCACTGAGGTGCAGTACAAAATATTTTTTACGTGTCAAAAGTCAATACTTAAACAAAATTATTTTTTGAAAAGTTACCTCTAACAAATTCTGCATTGGATGGAAATAGTAAAAAAATTCCTTTTTTTTGTTATAGGCATGTATTTTGTTTTCACTGGTATTTGAATGTCACTGAAAGCAAAACTTGAAAAATACTATTTATAAATTTCTATTGAAGCAATACGTTTCACAGAAGCCCTCAATAATGGTTTTTGCATCTCTTGTGTAAATGAACGCACAAATACCACATAGTTACAGGCTGAAACAATTTTAAGTAAATTAGAACAAATGTAGAACATAAAAATATGCAATTTTAAAAGTATGAATTAACATGAATTATAAAAACTGAAAAACATAACATGCTATGGCAGTATCATAATATTCTGCATTCAAATACTCTACCCTGAAAGTGTTAATTACGCCATTTTGTATATTTTTCTAAGAAATGTATCTTTTAGTTTGTTCTATTCAAGAGAGAATTACATAAAAAAACCCTCCAAACCACAATTCTTTTTCCTCCACTATAACTTCCCTAACTCTTTGGGAGCTTGTAAGTCATAACACAATAAATCCACATATGTTACCCCATTTATTATTATCAATATTCAATTTCTTCAAAAACAAATAGAGAAAAATGGAAGCTAATTATTTCAAAAATTCGCAAATGCTAATAAGGATATCAATATTTGCTTTAAAAATTGAGCTGATTCAGGTTGCTGAAATATTAAAAATTAAATATTTATGACCATTCTTCTTCAAAACTTCTTCTAAATACAATGTTTTTATTGAGTGTTTTTCAACGTGTGGTTCTCAAACCAATGGTATTTCATGATGAGAATATCAGTGAACTATACGATACGAATGTATTAATATTGAACATTTCTTCTATTGTCATTTCCTTTGGATTTATTACCTTTTAAAAATTTATTTAAATTGATATTTTTCGAATAACAATCGTAGATATCATATATCCTGTTTTAACAGTTCAAAGTATATTATCAAGCAGTGATGTAATAATTCAAAGAACATTGTTAAGCTTATGTAGTAAAAATGTTGAGAAATGCAAATCTGTTGTGTAATTAATTATTTTTATAAAAATGTGAATAAAGATATACTAATTATAAGAGTGTCAGTTTATGTATTTGGATAGCTTCAAATCATTTCGAGAATACTTCTCATGTGCTGTGAATAATTTGTTATTATTGCGGTCGTTTCACGAGTGTAAAATATATCAATAAGTATTTAACTACACAACTGTCATTTCAGTCCAAAGCGTTTAGGAGCAGTAGAAACACAGAAACGTTTTCTATTGAATTAACAACTATTGTTCAGCTCGTGAATAAGTAATAGCGTTCATTAATATATGAGATTTTTTCACAGGTTTCAAAACATGAACATCATCTTTGACTCGTGACCTTTGACTGAGATTCAATTGCGGAAAATATTCTAAATTTGATCATACATAGAGACACACTCAAGAACAAATTTATTTTTGTTTAACGATAGCTTACTTATAATATAAGAAATTATGTTAAATATAGTGTAACGAGAGAAATCTTCGTGTTACTATTTAAACACAACACATTTCTTCACAGCACTTAGTATGAGTTGCATACAATTAATACTCAAGATTGTATATTGAGGTAGATAAGTTCTTTCCTCCTCCCCTTATCTCGATCACGAACTTTCCGTTCTCACATTCTGCCGTCGATTTCCGTTTCTCGTCTTGCTCTGCACACCTTGTCATTTGCCATTTCTCGGGTCCCAGAGTGGCAGTTCACACGTATTATGTGGCTTAAATACTTCGCCCAACGAAAATTTTAAGAATTTCTGTTGATTATGACGATACAGAAATATGATCTGAATTCAACTTCTTCGGGACATTAATTTTCATTGCTCACTCGAACTCACTTCTGGCAATAATAGAAAAAAAAATACTTATTGATGAATAGCAATAATATACAGATCATTTTTGAGAATCCCTTTTACATGATAGAATGACGTGTGATATCTAGTGGCGCACCCAAGAGGCACGTGGCTAGAAGGGCTCCAGCTCTCCCCCAGCAGCCGACGATACATTATCACAAATATAGATTTTACCGATTTTCTGTTGTAAGGAAAGACATTCATTATCTCTATTGATTACGTTATATATATATATATGTGTGTATGGGATAAAATATTTAAATTTGTGTGTATGGGAAAGTCTTTGTGACAAAGTAGAGCCCGGATTCCTATGCAGAAAAAAATGACTGAGTCGTCCAGATGGTCAAGATCGCTAAGATATTAGTGTTGTAGAGATCTCGGACTGAAGGATCGCGAGTTCGAGTCTCGCCTTGGGCATGGTTGTATTTGTGTTCGTCCTTTCACCAGCTATCATCACCAAATCAGGTCATCTTCATAGTTACCATAACGTTAAATCCAATAGGGGTCGCTAATGGCCGAGATGTTGATGAGACCTTAAATTTTAAAAAAAATCTCTGAAATATGCCAGATACAATAATACGTACGATAATCTCTAAAATATTCAATAAATATCCAGTATAACATCCACAAGGCAATAGACGTGTATTACTAAAATGCAATGCAAAATACTTGTGGAAAAATTCGAATTGACTTACAACGGTATTGCCTCTATGAAACATGAACAAATCATCGGTGGAAAAATGTGTTTTGAAAATCATTTTATTTTTTAATTTCACTTAATTAACCATGCACCGGAACGCTGTGCTTTGTTTATATCCTAATATTTGGGAAAGGGGAAGAGATTTAAGAAAACAGTATGTAAATTTGATGAACTATGAACATTCTACATTTATGTAAAAATCATTTAAGTTTATGAGAAGATACATTTCTAAATTGGTTTTTGAAAAGTTGGATCGTCTTTATAAATATTTTTAAATGTTGGTCGTGGCCGTGAGCACGCGATATTGCTACCTGATATTAGATCTCTCTTTGGCACTACTAACAGCCAGCGAGCACATGGTGCGGCTATGTCCATGCATAAGCTCTCGCTTGGAAAACGATTCCTGACAGATAAGAAAACTACGGTCTATACCACGGGTTTATATTTCATTCGAGTCCGAGTCTCTGAGCACGTCGAACCGTGCCTCCTTGCTCGAAATTTAACCTTACCTTTGGTCGCGCACGTGGTACAAACGAAATACACAACCTTGTATATCTACATATATCTCCTTGTTTATCTGCATCTATTGACAAGTTGAGTTTCGAGGCTAAAAGGGCATTCACTTCTTTATGGTGACTGGTGAGCTACTCCTTGAACAACGATAGCTTTAAATCATAATTTACTAATTTTAATAAATTATTTCCACTTTCCTTTTATAATTTCAAAAAACTAGGATTCATGTGCAGAAATACGCAGAAGCCGTAAATATGACAATAATAAACAAAAATAGGCAAAATAAAAT